GTTTTGTTCCATCATTATGATAAATACCTGCTCAGATCTGCAACATTAGTGCATCAATCACCAAGAAACATGGAGACAACATACAAAGTTTCATTAGTTATTTTTTTTATATAGTTTCTTATTTATATTCTACTTTTCACAGACTGAGATAAAGTTATCTTTTTAAGTTTCTCACCTTATTAAAAGTTTCTTCTCCATCATTCAAACTCAGACAACAGTTTTCATTTTTCTTTCAGTTTCTCCATCTTCACCAGCAGCTGATCCAACAAAGGATAGAGATGTCACATTACTGTGTTCTCTGGAGAGGTACAGTGGGTTGGGTTCTTGTCCAGAAGACAGTTTCCACTGGTTGGATGAGACAGGAACTAAATTGACTGGTGAAGATTTTCGATACCAGTTAAGAAAACCAAGCAGCTGTGTTTCCTCTCTAACTGTGCAGCATCAGAGCATCGCCAACAGAAGATACACCTGCCAGTTTGTTGAAGGAAACAGCATAAAGGTAGAAGCTCACTACCCAGCTGGGTTTAAAGGTAGGCTGCCTTTGATCTACTGAGTAAATGAGATAAGAAGCAGGAATTAGCAGAATCCCAGCTGATTATTTATACTCTATGAAGATGCAAAGGGTGCAAAGAGGATTGGGTGGCAGTCAGAGGTTGAGGCCTCTGGGACCCGATCCATGGTAGCTTAAATCGGCTCTGGGGAGATGAAATGTGACCTCACTGGAGGCAATGACTGAGATGCGGTAGGTGGAGTGATACAGGCTAGAAATATTTGGGCTCACCTCCACATACAGCCAGGGCTCTGGAACCCAGCTCCTCTGGAGAGACTGGATTTTCTCTACTCTTAAGTGGCCCCTGGGAAGAGATGGAGAGCTGGAATGGGTCTGCTTGTCTCTCCCCAACTCACTCATGTTGTGTTGGAGTTAATCCCGGTGGAGAGGGTTGCATCGCTTCACCTTGGGGTCTGTGAATGGTCTCTGTTATTTCGACATACAGGCTGAATAGCATTTCAGCATCCAGCGACAGGTGCAGGTATTTGTTTTCAACGTAATTTTTTTTAAATAAACGTATAGTTTCTCTTTTTGAGGTTGAACGAGAAGTCCTTTATATTTTTTTTTTTTAAGTCAGACAGAGATGATTTATATTTTTATTCCATATAATAAAAAGTAACATAATATACTGTAGCTTTTAATCACTGAAACAACCTTAATGGAAGCAAAGAGGACAAAGTTTGGTCCTTCCAAAATTGAAGCCACACGTTTCATTCAGTGCTGCTAAATATGTCAGTCGGCTGCTGTTGGTGTTTAGAGGTTCTGGTTGTTCTGGCTCTATGGCAGCCTTGCTTCTGTCATTCTGCCCAAAGCAGCTGTGGCTACAGTGTAGATTACCACAACCAGCGTGTGAATTACTGAATGTAGTGCTAAGAGCTTTGGAATCCCTGGA